GGGGATGTGCTGGACGGCCCGCCGCTGGACCCGGGGACTCGCTGGACGGCCCGCCGCTGGACCTGGGGATCCGCTCGGCCGCCCGCCGCTGGACCCGGGGATGTGCTGGACGGCCCGCCGTTGGACCCGGGGACCCGCTGGACGGCCCCCGAAACGCATTGGCCCGCGCTCACCTGACCCCGCCACCTACCTGGAGATGGACTTGCCAGGTGCAAGCGGGTCAGTTTTGCTTCAACGCGCACCTCATCAAGCGTCACATCAAGCACCCCATCGTCAAGCGTGATGGGCGCCATATGGCCAACGTAGTCGGTGCGCCCTAAAGCCCAAATCATCATCATTATCAGTCAAGCATGTCTCATTATCGTCCACCACTGAGCCCAGGCGTCATTTCTACGAATCATCCTCCAGTCATCCCCCATGCCTACATATCACCCCGCCGTCTCTCTGCCGGAGCCATACACGCACGTGCTACAAAACTTATATTCGGCGGCAGCGCCGGTCAGGTACAGTGGATAGTGAGGTAGCGGCCGGCGGGGCGCGCACACTAGGGTCGGAGCAGGCCGCTAGGCGGGCGCCTCCGCCGGCGGCGACTCCTCGGCAGGCTGCCGCGCCGGCTCCTTCTTCTCACGCGGCTTCCGCTTGACGGCGAAGCTCAGCGAGTCCTTGTTGAACTGGAGCGGGATCGGACCAGGTCGCCGCTGAAGCGGTTCTTCAGAACCTGCGGCAGGCGGGGGTGGGGGTGCGTCGCCTCCTCGAAGCGCGGCCTCCGTGGGCTGTGCTCCGGTCCGACGACGGCTGACGGGGCTACAGTGACGCTCTGCACCGCCAGTCAAATGGCATATCTTTGCAGACTACGCCACCCGCTGCTAGTGGCAACACGTTCGGTTTGCGAAGTCATGCACTGCGGTATGTTATTAACCGCGTTCGCATTCGGCGCTTCTTACCAACGGCAGCTACACTCCTGTCACATGGCCGCTAACAGTTTTATATCCTGTCAATGACTTCCCAGCTGCCAACGGCCTCCTGTAATATGCTCACCAGCCTCTGATACTGCCGGAAGACACAGCTTCCAACACCCCGCGTGGTGTCGGGAACTATGGCGACCATGGCGTGCCATACAATTCCAGGCCTCAGTCCACCTGTACGCCTTGTTAGCGTCATGCGTGCCGTGCGCGTCGGTGTCAACCCGCCCGGCGCGCCCCGCGCCGCACCTGTATGTACTTCCTTTGCGTGTCAGCCGCGCGCATGCACTTGCAGGATGAGCACGTTGTCGGCCTCCTGGGTGGCGCGGAGCGCCACCGAACACCGAGGCCAGCCCCAGCTCGTCGTCATCCCTCTCCTTGCGGTGGACGGCAGGCGCGCGTGCGTTACCACCACCGACCGCCGGCGTCCGTCGCCCGGCGGCGGGGTCGGCGTGGTCTGGTGTGCAGAGTTTTCTGTCGGTCCGCTGGATACCCCAAAACACACGCCCCGGAAGGAAGGGAGCACCGTACTCAGAGCCCTGACATACAGCTGATGAGACATGCCTTACAAGTAGGAGGTGATAACAATATTCGGAATGGAGATTACAACGATGGGTTCAGATCACACATCACAGCCTTACTCCGGAACCATGTACATGTTGCGAGGCACTTACAGTGCGGCCTAACATTTTTACATTAATCCACGCTCATACCGTGGATGACCTCGTACAAAAGTCGGCTCCCACCCGAGTGACAGACCCCTGGCGCCGGTCTGTCCGCTGGCGGTTGACAAACCTTTCTGGGGTGTATGACGAGCGTGACGTGGCAGTTTTCATGGTGGCAAAGCGGCGGAAGCGGCTGATGACCGAATCCTGCTCGAAGAAGCGGTCCGTGCCCCGCTCTCCGGGGCCCATCATGAACTGCAGGTTGTCCAGCACCACGTGGCCGATGTCGTGCACGTACGCCGCATGCGCCATCGCCTGACGGCGACCAGGCGGTTGGTGACGGCGGCCGGGCGGTGTGATGAGAGCAGGGTGGGAGTGATAACGTCGGACGGGTGGGGTGGTGCCAGCGGCTGAGTGAGGTGATGACAACCAGCCGGGTGGGGGTATAGGCGCCGGCCCGAGTGGGTTTGAGACGCCGGCTGGTGGGATGATGACGCCAGCCGGGCAGGGTGTTGGGGCGGTCCCGCCGCGCATCAGGGGAGGAGCGGTCTATCTGGGATCTGTCGCCGACCGGGCCGCGGGACAGCGCACCGCACACGGATGCAGTTGCGGGTCATGGTGACCTGCGCAGGGGATAGTCAGCGCCACACCGGCGCCCAATGATGGCTGAGTCACGCCCAGTACTGGACAGCGGCGTATGTAAGACGATAGTGCTGCGTTGCCGACACGTTAAAAGCAGCCTGTTCAGTTTCATCCCACCCTCATCCCAGAAATCAGCATGAAAATGTCGGTGCTAAGTGACCTAAGCTCTTGAAGGCGCCGCTACTTCCGAATAACACGAACATTTCAAGTAGCGCAGCCCCGGCCAGTACCCTCTTAACGCCACCCCTGCCGATAGCGAGTGCCCTGCTCGCCACCGGGCGGCGGCAGGGAGGGGACGCGGCCGGCCGCCCGGCCCGCCCCACACTCCGCCGCACCGCCCTAGCTCTTGACTCACGTCCAATACGTTGGTGACGCTCTGCTGACCGTGAAACGTCATGAACCACATGGGGAGCTTCTCGAACTCGTCAGCCGCCTGAAACAGGAGACACGCCCGGTCGGCTGACGTCTGCCACTCCGGGGCCGCAGCACGGAGTCGACGCCACCTGCACGCACGTACGTACGCACGCACTGTAGCACGCGCTGGGCTACCCTAAGTAGCTATTAAGTTGCGCGTCTGCGAAACTAGAGACGCTAGGTTCGATCCCCCACGGCGTCCGTCCTTTCCGCCAGGGTCGACGGGCGACGGACTGAGGCCTGGAATTGTGACCGTGAAACGTCATGAACCACATGGGGAGCTTCTCGAACTCGTCAGCCGCCTGAAACAGGAGACACGCCCGGTCGGCTGACGTCTGCCACTCCGGGGCCGCAGCACGGAGTCGACGCCACCTGCACGCACGTACGTACGTACGCACGCACTGTAGCACGCGCTGGGCTACCCTAAGTAGCTATTAAGTTGCGCGTCTGCGAAACTAGAGACGCTAGGTTCGATCCCCCACGGCGTCCGTCCTTTCCGCCAGGGTCGACGGGCGACGCTATATGCATACACGCAGCAGCTGAAAGGGTCGTAAAGCGCCAATCGCGCACACACACAGCACGAGGAAGGAGGAGGAAGCACAAGTAGCTTAAACGGCTTAAGCTGACACACGGGCACTATCCTCCCATATTCCTCCCCTACCCACCGCGCACGGAAAGCTCCCGTCCCAAAAACAGCTCGCTGCGCGCAGACAGCCAGTCACCGACCTGTTCGAACTTGTCCAGGTTCTTGTCGAGCGCACAGTTGGCCATCTGCTGTAACATCACCTTGGCCAGCCGGACGTTGTTGATCTCGAAGCTGCCCCACAGGGTGTTCACCTGCCGGGACGGGCGACGCGTTGGTGCCAGTCGTGGAGGTTAAGGAACAGTGAAACTAGATTTCTGGGATGATAACAGCCGCCGGGTTGAGCTGCGGGCCAAGCGCTGCTGACCGCTCACAGGGCACCAACATGGGATAAGGGATACTGATCTATGTCCTGACGTGGGATACTAGGGCGTGGAAGGACAAGTGGAGCACGAGCCGACCCCTGACACCCCGACAGCGAAATTCGGCTGATAGGGGACATTACATCAGGCTGCATGTCAATCAAGCTGATGGCGACAGACACTGAAATCCCCACTTGACATCAAAGGCGAAAGCACGAAAACGCCTTCACATTGCAGACGGGGCCCACATCACGCCTGCAGCGTGCGACGCACCCCCTGCATGGAGAGGTCCAGCGAGTACTCGCTGACGAAGGTGGTCTTGCCGGCGCCGGTCGGACCGGACAGGATGGTGAGCTCGCCGCGCCGGTGGCCGCGCAGCAGGCGGTTCAGGCCCGGGAACCGCTTCCACTGCACGCCAGCCACCTGGCGACAACCGGATCAACTGCAGGTTCACTGCGACGCCGAACGGAGGCGGGTCGGGCGCGTCGCGACAGCAGGCAGGAGAGCGGTCTGGACACAGATGGTAGGGAACTGCTCGCAGGATTCCGAGCCTGGGTGCGGGCGACCCAATCTCCTCTGCATACGCACTCTGCCCGCAAGAGCGGGTATCATAACGGGTACATGTATCTGTCCAGGTCCCGCCTTCAAGAGTCTGCGGGAGTTCCAGTTGGCATACGACACCACGTGAAGTTATAGCTGGTGAACCCAGGCTGTAATTGTCGGTGATACTTAGCTTGGTGCCCGACACCACAGGGGCAGCTGCACCTTCACGAACGACACGCGCAGCCATCGCATAATAGCACAGTCGTGGTCAGGGCGGTGCCTATACACCAGTTAAACCCATCTGAGCTTGAGGATGTCATGGGCGATCATAACCCACCTATCTGACCACGAACAAAGCGAATGGCCAGATCACAACAGCCGCTGCGATACAGCGATTAATCTGCTCCCCGCTACTCAAGCTGCCATGCATTAATGGAACCTCCCCACAGGAGCAGCGCTGGTGTGCATTCGTCGCACGGCGGCCGCGCCGGGCCGCACCTGCGTGGCGTTGGAGATCTCCTCGAACACGTCCTGCCGCAGCGCCGAGAACGTGGTGATGGCGTTGTGGTAGAGGGGCGCGGCGGCTTCGAGGATGCGCTGCAGCGACGCACCGGCACGCATCGCCTCTAGCGGAGAGCCGTGCTCCGCGGACGGCCTGCGCGCCGATGGCCGGTTAGACGCGTCACGAGGAGGCAGCAGCAGCAGCACAGTACGCGCCAACTCTGCTCGGATCAACAGATGTGACCTACACAGCCCCTGTTTCGCGTTTTGTTTTGATCTAGCGGCTTCTGGCATATTTTGCCTTATAATTTGCAGAGTATTGTCAAAGAAATTTAAACATATACAGCGTAAAACGGCCGTGCCGTGTTGTCGCACGCCAGCCCGCAACTAGTTCAGCTGACAGCGACAGCGCGTCCGCCGTGTTCTCTTCAGTTGAAGGCCGTCAGGCAGGCCTCGGGGTGACAGCCCACCTAACAGTGAAGCAGCGCTTCTCGGAGAGCTTGCGGGCGAAGCAGCGTACGGCATTCCAGCTGACCACGTCGCCGGGAAACCAGAACGTCAGCTTGGTGAAGCGCTCCAGCAGCGGCAGCAGCTCGGTCGGCAAGCTGCTGGTGCCTGTCAGCGGAGGGCAGACCTCAGAGTGGGGAGGCAGGGCTCACTTCAGAGCGTAACGCTAGGGGGGGGGGGGGGGGGGAGCGGGAGGACGGAACACTCGCATCGGTTATAGACGGACACCAGGCGGCCGTAAAGACGTCTGGAAGGCAGCGAGCACGAGAGACAGTCCTTGTGTGGGAGGGCGGCCCTCCACACAAGAGGGGACGCCGTCGTGCAGACAAATGAGTACCTAGCCACTTCCGAGACCTAACGCATCAAACGTTACATACGGTATTCAATGTTACCAAATTCAACACATGAGCAGATCATTCAAAATGCCAAAAACGACCTTTGTACACTCTAATCCCATAACAAAATTGGTGCAGCCTTACCTACGGAGTCAAACACGTGAAACCCATAAACACACATGACGAATAAGCAAATTTGTGAGAAAAATCGGGAGGTACACCTCCAGTCTCGCTACTTCCCGCTCAGCGTCTCTCCCATGTCCATCATACGCCAATCCCCGTATACTGCAACGAGCTCCGGCGGCGGCCCGTCGCCGTCGAGCCGAGCCAATGCACTCACCGTGCGGCAGGGCCAGCACGGGGCCGCGCGCGCGCTCACTGAGCGCCAGTGCGTCGCACAGCCGGGAGGTGAGTAGGGCGTGGTCGCGGCCGCGCACGCTGGCCCAGCCGGCCGGCAGGTGAGCTGACGGCGGCACAGTGCGCTCGGCGCCGGCCGGCGTCAGCAGGCGCAGACCGGCCAGCGCGCCGTCCGGCCGGCGCAGCGGCACCAGCAGGCCGCCGTCGTCGCCCAGCCGCGCCTCGAACCGGCGCAGCGTGGTCGGCGCCGATGCCCTGCGGCGCGCGGTGCGGGCGGCGGTGAACGGGGGAGGCGGCCGGGACGCGGCGGACGACCGCTGGGGATGTCTGCCACGGCGTGACACGGCCGACACCGGTGACGGATGTTCCTTGCGCACGGATAAACCCGGCGCTGCAGGTGGTGCCAGCACAGTGGCCGAGGGCGAACGGCTCTCGCTACGACGCCGGCAGGGCAGATGAGAGCTGCACGGACTTCAAGCACACACACACACCGCAAACTCAACTGTCTACAATCTGACCAGGAGCATACAGCTGGCGTGCCATGGCTGTGGCTGGTATTATTTCAGATCATGGTTGCCACGGGCGCTCGCGCCACCCAGGCCGCCTGACTCGTGCACCACGCACCTGCAAATTGAGCCGCTCCAGGGCAGCCTGCAGGGTGTCGGCGTCGGCCGCCTCCACGGGCTGAGCGGCCTCCCAGAGCCGAGTGACGGAAGGCGGCGGTGCGGCCGGCGGCGGCGGCGGCGGCGGCAGGCGCACCCGCTTGCCCTTGGGCGAGTACAGCATGCTGAGCTGGTCCTCCAGTTGAGACCAGGTGCCACCGCGGCCGCACTGATGGCACATGAAGGAGCCTGCACATCGGTCAGTCATGCCTCCACCCGGACAGCTAGACATTTAGGAAAGCTGGCCAAAATCAGGGCAATGTACAGACCAGTGCACAGCTAAAAAGACAGTACGTGTGTTGCTTGAAATGTGTCTAACCTTCGCATACCACTGGCGCCGGTTTTTGGTGTGCTACGTATGCAATGAAATGCATCCATGAAAGACGTAACACAGATGAACTTGCCGCATGCACAACACAAGACATTCCCACGAGTGGGTGGCGAACTTTTTTTGCAGTCAAACGGCACCGAGAGCACCCGTTTAGGTGAAGTTCCCAAAAACATTGCTGCAGAAGCATTCCTGGGAAAGCCAGCCACTATATCATGAGTAAAGCACACCGCTTGCCCATACACATGCAGCCCGCCACACAGGTAGCTGGTGTGGCAAATGACCCGCAAGATCACATGGTGATACAGGCTAAAGCCAATTGAGACCTGCTGGCTGATTCACATAGAAACTTTATCCGTCACTAAGTGCTCCTATCACTGCTGGTTTTCCTACGTGATTCAGCGTTGAAAATCATCGGCACCCGCGCACCTCTAAGCCCTCCGGACAGCACAGAGCTCAGACGACACCGTATCAGAGAGGACGGAGCGGGCCACATGCCATGGTCCCGATGGGCCCGCTGGGAGCCCACCGGGACCGCAGAGAATCGCACGTCATCAGTTCAGGATTTGAGAGCCCCACGTCGTCCAAACTTCGAGGCCCGAGCCCGAGCCCGACAAGTTACTGGGCTCGACGAGCCGACCAGCTACGACTAGCGGCGCAGCGTAAGGTGATGACTCATGCTGGCTTACAAGGTGATGCTACACGGCGAGCTTGATGTGCTGAAACCCGTTTGTGTTCAACCGCGACGCGCGTGAGCGTCCCACTTGGCAGGCTAGGCATCTACAACTCCCTAGGCCGAGATCCGAGGTCGATAGGAGACATTTCGGGTATCACACGCCAGCATTGTATAATGCACTGCCAGCCGACATCACACATCGGACACGGCAACGCCTCATATGCGCGGCGAGCGCGCACCTGTCGAGCGATATTGCTGTTGGTAGCTGGTACATGGGTCTCTGACTGTGTTTTGTTAATTGCATGCATGTTTTTATCCCCTGTTCTTTTGACGTGGGACTGTAATGTCCATGCTCCAGAGTGTACAGCCTAATGATGCAATGCATAAATGCATACGCACATACAGCGTGACGACAAGCAACGCGAGAAGCGCAGCCACGGCGGTAGAACGACATACCGCCGAGCATCTCGGGCGACAAAAATGGAGGGTCCGGTCTGGAGGACACAAGTGGAGGGTCGGTAATGAGAGGAAGCGGCCGGAGCCGAGACCGCCGGCTCGCCCTCAGTAGCATAAAGGGGCAATGACTGCTGGCCTGCCCTCAGCGAGACAGAGCTCACCGGCTGGCATGGTGAGGACTGCCACTTGCCCTCAGCAGGACGGAGCTCTCCAGCTGACCAAGGCAGGGCAGGACTGCTGGCATGCCCTCAGCAACACGGAGCTGGCGAGCTAGCAGGGCAAGGACTACCACCTACCCTCAGCAGGGCAGAGCTCACCAGTCAGCTATGATGGCCTGCTACTCCCATCAGCATGACATAGCTTGCAGAGACCACTATATCCAACTGGACCATGCCACGTTAGTCACAACTCCATTGAATTTCACAAAAAATGCAGGTGATAGCTGACCATTTCATGCATGTGAAAGACATTACAGATAGCACTGATGCCAACTTAAGATATCTCACCTGTTATCATGTTCACATACATCTTTTCACTATCTGACTTTCTGCCAGCTTTCTTGTGTTTGCAAAATATACAGCCCATGATGAAGCAAGTAAAGCCAAGCTCAAATGATATGTTGTTGGCTTTCAACACATTTCGTATCTTTGCCTCATCAACGCTAACTTGCAACTGTTGATGTATCACTTGAGCCTGGACACTGGATGTCAGGTGAAACTGTCTTTGAGAATGAACCATTCCACTTAAGAACCAGACTTGCTTGAGGAGCTTGGCTAAGGGGATAATATTTGGATGTGCAGTTTGAGAGTACTGCTTGTGGAATCTGTTGTCTCCTGCAATACAAGCCCTGGAGCTGTATCCTTTTCGTACAAACATCTGGTAGCTTGTAGGACGTGCATGATGCAACTGGCACCTGCATGCTGCTATGAGATTTCTCATACTCCTGAAACAAGTAAAAAATAAATCCAAAGAATCCTTATGACCATAATCAGCACAGAGACTTGCACACCAATGTGGTAATAGTTGCCAGTGTAACACAAAATCATAGAGGAAGTTTAAATATTCTCTTAAACACTTCTTGACAGCCCCTTCCTGTGACAACCCATGACACCTGATCTAGACACTACCAAAAAATGCAGCAGCATTTTGACGGTAAAAATCGCTATAACAGGCATACTGTGTGCAATAAACAACACTGCATGTTTCTGAATCACCAACGTGGTTATCTGCAGCACACACGCCAGACGCTCCAAAACATCCAGGTCATCAGAAAAGCACATGTGGTCTTGAGCCCGCGTCAAGCGCACACCTTGAATCAATTTCGGCGCCATTGAGACGGCAGTCTTTGTTTACATTAGTTTACTAGAGTATCTTGAGGGTAGGGAGCAAAGAAAAAAAAACTTGTGGCCAATCAGAAGGCGCAATGCACAACGGCATTCAAATAGTTCGTGCTTGCGTTTCCGATGACGTAATAATTATTTAATTAGGTTTTATTCGGTGAGTAGATGTATTTATGCAAATCAGTTCCTAAAAACTGTAAAAATTAAAACTAAAATATTTTAAAAGTCGCAATAACTATCTACAAATGTTTAATTACATGGGACAAATAAATAGCACATCCGATCTACACAGGCCCTTCGTTTTCGACCGAAATTTGAAATCTGTCGACGTTGAGAGACGCGGTTTTGGCAATTTGTTTGCGAGTACGGTGGGGGTGTTTTGTGCAAGTTCTGGGTAGACAAAGGTGCCGAGACTAGAAATAGATAGTGGTATATAAAATTGTATCCGTCTTCGAACCGCCACGTATCTGTCTGGCTCACTCACCTTTGCTCTGAGGTAGGTAATAGTTGATTAACTGGATGTGCATCCGCTGGCTGGGCAACATCCTTTTGGAAATAATTTTTTTAAATTTACTTGTAAATCTAGAACTATTAATCATATTCTTCATTTTCAGCTTGGTCTTTCATTGTACACTGAAGTTGTTAATTGTGAGCCAGCGCATGCCCACAAACTAGCATAGTCAACATCACCAGAGTGGGAAACATCTTCAAACTGCTACCAGGCCCTAACCTGATCAAAAATTTCACTTGATGTGGTACCCTTTACACTCAACTCACACACAGTAATGATAGAAATGCTCCTGGAATCCGTTATCAACATGATGAGGTGCCTTTAACATTCATTTGGGTTGCTGGTTGAGTGCAGTGTACCAAGATGCTGTGTTGGTGCAAAATGACCTTAGTAGTCAGTATGTCTTAAAAACCCAATCATCACCAGAAGGTGGGAAGCCAAGTTTGCCTCTTGAGAATTAGAGCTAAGAGAGCTGCAGACACCAAATTCACAGGGTAGGTATGTATGTGTGAGCATTGTATGTGAACCCACTTTTGTCAAGTTGTCAGGTCCCTAGGTTATGATCTTCAGGCAAAATATGCCTACTCAAAGTTAAGCTCTGGATTAGCATCCTCAGACCTCAGACCTCCAGAATGCCGAAAACTACTTAATAAAGCAAGTTAGCCATTGGAAGAAGCAGTTGGTTTCTATCTTGGTCAGACCTCCACAATTGACCCCAAGGTGAATTAAATAAGTAATATTTCAAACCTCAGTTCTAAAATTGTGTGAAAAAAACATTTTAAAATGTGTGGTCTGTATGATGACTTTGTTTTCACTCCAGCCACAACAGTCCCTAAAGGGATTACCTTTACTGAAAGCCATGTCCTGTCATTGACCTGTCTAGTCTCACAGGTCAGCAACCTTGCTAGTTAGGTTCAATGTTGTATACCAAAAAGACAGCTATTCAATTGCCTACAGCTCATCTAGATTTGATAGCGATACTGCGCCATTCAGAAGTTAGCATTGAAAAGCTTGATCAGTCAAATTAACCCCCACCTGAGCATGCTTTAAGACTGTGGAATATTTCAAGAGGTTTTTTATGGTATCTTTCAAGCTGGGCTAGCAAACATTGAGACATGGTTGTTGCCATATAATTTGAGTTTTTAACAAATTAAGTACAGTTTGATTGGCTCAATCTTACACATGCATTACATTACTGCCTATATCATTTTCCCACCTGTCACTCAGTTGTGTGGCTAATGGCTTCACAGTCAAATCACATTAAAGTCCTATTAAGCAACTAACCCAAATATCACTCAGTCATGAAGTGTGCATTGAACATGTTCTGTTCTAAAAACAAAATGGTGCATTTTGGTGCATGGACCATCAACAAGTTGCAAAGCACAACTTGCAGGCATCATGCATAACACAGATGTAATTGCAAGTCCTCATTTGTCATATTCAGATGCCCACACATCATCCAAGTCCAAATTTTCAACATTTATTTGGTGCTTGAGACACTGAATAGTTTTTCCATTGTTTTACCTTGGAAAGTACAGTGCAGTTTTTGATGTTGTTCATCTTAAACTTTTCCTGACTGCTGATGTTTCTCATTTATTTGTCATCAGTGTTAATGCATGCTGTTTCATTGGTGCTCCAAAAGTGTGTTCACTTCCCTGACAAAAGCAGTGTGTTTATAATTACCAGCTTTCTCCTCTAATGTCAGTTTTCTAATCTTTCTACCCCCACTGAAATATTAGCTTGACAGGACTCTGCCAGCTTTGGCATTTCAGCTGGGTGAAATGATTTTCCTGTACTTTCTGGTTTCAATGGTTAAGTTTGGCATAAAATGGTGCAGACTCTAAAAGCTATGATCTTGTCATTTTATAAACACCTTCACCATCTTGTTGCCAAAGTTACCTCATCAGTGAAAAAATCAGCACCAGAACACTGGTAGACAGTATGATTCAAATGTGTGGTATACCTGTTAGAATTGATGCAAGGTATCCATTAGCCTATATCCATTGCGCCTGCAACAGACATGAAGTTTGTGGCAGTTTTTGCTGCCAGCATTTTCTGCCAGCCATTTTTAACTAACAACTGGCTGACAGAACCTGTTTCAGCTGGTTGCTGCCAACCCAGGCCTCCGCTATCTTTCGTGGCATATTTTTTCAGTGGTTTACAATTAATTGCTCACCCCACCAATCCAGACGCTGCCACCACGATGAGTCGCCTTCCGACGCCCTCCTCGCGGCTGCCGGTCGCCGGCAACTCCAGACTGCCGGCGGTGGGCGCAGCGCGAGCGACCCCCAGGGTGGCCACGTCGAGCGCCGTCGGCAAGCGGCAGGCGACACAGCTGAGCATGGCGTCCAGCAAGAGGAGTCGCATGGACACCTCCAACAGTGAGTGCTTGTGGTCATGGATGAGGAGAAGAGGGTATACCCTAAGGGCTGTGCTTCGCCTGGGTCAGGTGCCTTTGCTGTCGATGTGCTATTTGGTTTGACCACGACGTCTGATAAACGGCGGCCCTCGTGCCTAGAGTTGCCTTAATCTAGATAGCACGGCAGCACCCGCTTGTTCTTTCCTGTCGGGTTTCAAACTTTGTAAGCGGTATGGACGGCAGTGCTCTGGAGGCGCCCCCCAGCATGCGCTCCGACCCCAGTGACGGTGGCCCCTCGGCGCTGCAGGCTCGGACGGCTCGGCGTCGGGTCGGCCACCACGTGCCGGCAGCATGCGACCGCCGGCCAACCCCGGCCTGCTCCGCTCCAAGTCCGTGGCCAGCCTGAACACGCCGGCCGGCCGGCCCGCCGGCGCCAGACCAGGTCAGCGACCGCCGGCGGGTCACTGCGCCACTCGACGACGGCGGAGCGGGGGTGACGTCACGTGCCGTGCCGCGCCGTCGTCGGATTGATTGCTGGGCCATTCGTCAGGCGATCATTCAGATGATCCCGAGCTCTATGCGCTCGTCACCTCTAGTCATTAGTCAGATGATCCCGGGCTCGAAGAGGTCGTCACCTCTAGTTATTAGTTAGATGATCCCTGTCTCCATGCGCTCGTCACCTCTAGTCATTAGTCAGATATCCCAGGCTCTAAGAGATGGTCACCTCTAGTTATTAGTTAGATGATCCCGGGCTCTATGCGCTCATCACCTCTAGTCATTAGTCAGATATTCCAGGCTCTAAGATATCGTCACCTCTAGTTATTAGTTGGATGATCCCGGGCTCTATGCGCTCGTCACCTCTAGTCATTAGTTGGATATCCCAGGCTCTAAGCGCTTATCACATCTGGCCACTAGTCAAATGATCCCGGGCTCTAATCTCTCGTCACTTCTAGCCATCAGTCCAGTGATCCCGGGCTTTATGCGCTTGTCACCTCTAGCCACCAGTCCGATGATCCCGGGCTCTAAGCGCTCGTCACCTCCAGCCATCAGTCGTGTTGCCGCCTTCCGGGATCATCTCGCGACGCCTGCAGCTCAGATAGTGGTTGCCGTCCCGGTATCTAACGCTCACTGTAGCGGATGGCGGCGAACCGTCAGTGTTGTAGCCCAGCTCGGACCCACCACCCGACACATAGTCAGGGGCGAACGCTCCGCCAACTGGTCCTGCCCGCACGGCCTGTCCTCTGGACGAGGAGATGTCCGCGGCACTGCTCCAGGTTGTCCTGGATCGCGCCACGTTACCCCGTGATCCTAAGCCTCATGTCATTTGTACCCGCCATATGTGAATTGCCTCATACCTGCCGAGATTTCCCAATGCTCCCGATGCCAGGTGTAGCCCGGCTCCGACCGTGGGCTCCCCCAGAGCCGATCCTTAACTTTGGCAGGACGTACCGCTCATCATGTGTGACCTTTGCCAGGAACCCGAGGCGCCCCGATGAGGGATGTGACCTCCAAAAGTGGTGTCCCAGGGCAACAGGATGACAGGTGAGCCGTGAGAGACCGGAGACCATGAGGCCGTGAGGCCAGAGGCAATAAGAGACCACAGATCCTGAGGCCAGTGACCATGGGACCATGCACATGTATGTCTGCCTACGTCAGGTTCCGCGCGATCAGCCAGCAGCTCCGTTGGTGATTCACAGCAGCAGCCGGGCTGACGCCGTGTATCAGCCAGCCTGTGTCAGTGAAGGCATCACGTACTGCTCCACGCCGCTCCGCATCTGGTCATCCTGATGTCACAGGGCATTGGTAGCACCTGGGACCTGGGGCGTGGTGCGTGTGACGTGGTGCGTGCTGCAGTCGCGGGATCTGTGCGCCGTCCGCGCTGTATGGGGATGGTGCGCCGCCCCTGCTGATGGACTCGCCGTCCGTCCAGGTGACACCGCAGGCCCCAAGCCGGCCGCCAAGCGACAGCCGTGGGATCTGAAGGGTCGCTTGCAGGACATGGAGCAGAACCTGAACATGAAGAACAGCCAGCATGAGGAGCTGATGCAGCAGCTGCTGCTCACTCAGGAGCGCGTCTCCAAGTGAGATAAGCTAACATCTGTCGCGGTTGTCACGGGTGTCACGGTTGTCATGGGTGTCACGGCGTCGCGGTTGTCACGGTGGTTTCGGCGGTTTCGGCGGTTTTGGCCACCAATATCTCCAGCTTGAGCACCATCTGTCTCTCCTTTAATCATAGCACTTTGTAACTGTGCTTGTCTGCAGATGTGACGCCCTCGTCACCTGCGAGATAATGTCATGATCAATGCGAGGTGCGTGTCCTAAGTTTGATGCTCCTTTTTCGTTACGTGCTCTCCGTAATTGAAATGTGAGGCGACTTAGCCGAGACCGTGTCCGAAAGATGGGCAGGCAGCTGATGAGACGCGCGTTTGTGACGTGAAAGCTAACGCTCTCGGACGGCTAACAAACATCAGCGATGACGCCCCGCTCGCCGCCGCCGTTGCCGTCACCGTCCTGTCCCTTCCCCGCCCCAGGATGGAGACCGAGAAGCAGCAGCTGGAGGTGGGCGTCAAGGAGAAGGAGATTCGCACGGTGGAGATCCAGTCGGAGGTGGATCGCGTGCAGCAGCTGCTGCGCCGACGCGAGGACGAGATGGACGAGGAGCGCCGCCGGCTGAGCCGACAGCTGGCCGACCTTGAGGCGCAGCAGCAGACGACAGAGGCGGCGCGTGCCGCTCTCGAGCGCCAGCTGCGGGCGCTCGAGGCCGAGCTGCGTGCCAAGACGGACGAGGCCGCCGCGCTGATGGTAGGCATCCCCCTCCCCTCGTGTGAGGCGGCGGAGAGCGTGCTGGACGGTCCGGCGTGCGGCACACATGGCTCGCGTGTCATGAGCTGAGGCTAGAGTCGACTCATCCCCATTGTGATGTTGGGAAAGACCCGGCCATACGCGAGCAAACAAACATTACCCACTGCTCTGCGACTCAGTGAGTATGCACGTTACGGTCATGTCGAATCGTCGGCCGCCGGCCGTCGGCGCCCGTCCGCCCCCCCCCCCCCCCCCCCGTCCCCGACGGTGTGTGTGTAATGCGAGCCCTGCCGTGCCGCCGCAGACGTCGGTGGGCCAGCTGACGGCCGCGCAGGCCACGGTGCAGGCGCAGCTGACGGCCGCCCAGCTGACCGTGCAGCAGCTGACGGCGGCGCGCGACCAGCTGAGCGAGACGCTGCAGCAGCGGGACGTCACCGTGGCCGAGCTGGAGGCCAAGATCCGCTCGGAGGAGACGCTCCGGCGCCGCCTGCACAACCAGGTGCAGGAGCTCAAGGGCAACATCCGCGTGTTCTGCCGCGTGCGGCCGCTGCTCGGCGACGAGGTGGCCGCCGCCGGCGGAGAGATACAGCACATACAATTCACCGATGAACGCTCCCTCGAGCTGGGCAAGGCCGGAGGTAAGCCGACGACCTGAGGAGGGGCGGTCGCGGCGCAGATGGTTGTACGGGCAGAGTATGTCTCGGCACTCGACAAAAAATGTCAGCAGATATTTCCGACCAGCGGCTGCGCGATGTCGATCCGTTCGCCCCTGGTGTGTGCGCGGAAATTCCTCCCATGTGACACCTGAAAACATGATCTGTATCCTCACCGTCAAAACGTGCGTCATCTTCGTAGCCCTGCGTGTCCATCTCTATCCTCACCGATGGCCGGCGCCCCTGTCTGCTGTGACTGGCCGGTCGGCCGGGCGCGGGCCGCCCTCCCCGCCCTGAGCCGTGCTCGCCGCTGCCGCAGCCGCCTCTGCCAACGGCGCCGGCGCCGGCCTCAACGAGACGATGAGCGGACGGCGCCGCGAGAGCGACGGCAAGGTCGGCTTCACCTTCGACCGCGTCTTCCCGCCGCGCGCCTCCCAGGCGGAGGTGTTTGAGGAGATCTCCCAGCTGGTGCAGGTGAGCCGGCTGCCAGCTGTTGGCTGTGGTGCTCCACCGGTGGCCCGGCGCTGCACGGTGGCAGCATGCCGGCGGTGCTACTTGCGGGGTTGCTGCAGCCGTCTGTTTATCAGCTGGCCAGCTGGCCATGTGTAAACGGGCATTGCGTTAGATTTGGTCTTGCAGTGTTGAGATTTCTGTCGTCTTATACTTTATGGTGGCAGCAGGAATCGACCGGCCGCTGCATGCTCGCCCTCGGTCTTGCTCTTTCTCTGTCCCATCCGTTCCAGTCGATTCCTGACGGCTACAATATGTGTTGACCCGACGCCTGTCCAACAACACCTCTGCCCGTTTCGTTCTGTTCGTTCTGGATGAGTTTCACGAGTGTCCGTGTGTTCGACCCTTGTCTAATTCCTTGATGGAGCTTAAATGACCTCCGTCTGATCCGTGTTCCACCCACCTTCCCGTGCAGGCCCACCGTGTGCGTGCTTGAGCCCTGTCTAAGCCCCGCCCCGCCCCGTGCGCTCCGTTGCAGTCGGCCCTGGACGGCTACACCGTGTGCGTGTTCGCGTACGGCCAGACGGGGTCGGGCAAGACGCACACGATGGAGGGTGGCCGCGACGAGCAGCTCGAGGGCATGATCCCGCGCGCCGTCCGGCAGATCTTCCAGACGCGCGACAGTCTTGCTGAGAAGGTGGGCGGACGCCGGGGCTGGCGGGCCGGGGGTCGGCTGCGCTCGGGGCCGGCTGCGCGGGCCGCCTGGGTCAGTCGGCTTTGATTCGGGGCTCATGGTGGAATAGAGGGCGTTGCTCCACCGCGTGCTGGTGCGCCCAGGTCTTATAACGCCCACTGATGGGGTCAGCGGGTCTTGTTCGGTGAGTTGTCTGCACGCAGTTTCTGAACAATCTGTACTCTCTTTCAAGGCAACGTGTGACCAAATGACACTGGTTGACCTCCGCTGACAGGGATGGAGCTACACTCTGGAGGCCAGCTTCTTAGAGATTTACAATGAAACCATCCGCGATCTTCTGAACACAAGCAAGGAGAAGCCCACCTACGAGATCCGCATGGTGGAAAACAAGACTGGAAACAAGAACAAGGAGGTGTATGTCACTAACCTCAAGGTTTGTCAATACTGTAGGCACTCTTTTTGTTGGTTGGTAGCGTACGTCATGTCAGATAAATCATGAATGCCAACACAAGCCATTGTCACACAGAATCATTGAAATATTGATGGTAAAGATGATATGCGTTCGACCTACCCTCTATCTTGTACTTTTAAGACCGGTACCCTCTATCTTGTAATTTTAAGACCGGTACCCTCTATCTTGTAATTTTAAGACCGGTACCCTCTATCTTGTAATTTTAAGACCGGTACCCTCTATCTTGTAATTTTAAGACCGGTCCACCACTCAGTACATGCCAATCGGTATTTCTGCCCATCCTCCACAATGCTGCTCGATGTCCCTTTTTCCGACTATTGACACATTCATATTCGCCTTTTTCATCATTGTGACATTTGTCAGCCACATATACTGCCGTTGTTGTCACCGTTGTAACCGTGGCCACCCGGGCCGCATGCTCCTGAATGGCTCGTTCGTGCGCGCTCCGCCCGCCGGCCGGCGTGACGCCTGTCGGTGCGTCGCCAGGTGGTGACGGTGGCGGACGCGGCGGCCGTGGCCGCGCTGCTGGAGCAGGCGCGTCAGCAGCGCGCCGTCGCCGCCACCAACTGCAACGAGCACTCGTCGCGCTCGCACTCGGTTTTCACGCTGCGGCTGAGCGGACAGAATCGGCTGACGACCGAGACCTGCCACGGTAGGCGCTCCGCTGGTGGCGCGAGGGGGGGGGGGGCGGCGGTGCCCCAGCGGCTGACGACCGAGACCTGCCACGGTAGGCGCTCCGCTGGTGGCGCGAGGGGGGGGGCGGGGGGGGGGGCGGCGGTGCCCCAGCGGCTGACGACCGAGACCTGCCACGGTGGGCGCTCCGCTGGTGGCGCGAGGGGTGGGGGGGGGGGGGGGGGGGCGGCGGTGCCCCAGCGGCTGACGACCGAGACCTGCCACGGTAGGCGCTCCGCTGGCGGTGCGGGGGGGGGGGGGCGTCCCGGCGGCTGACGACCGAGACCTGCCACGGTAGGCGCTCCGCTGGCGGCGCGCGGGGGGAGGAGGGCGCCTCGGCTGCGGACGAACCGCTGCGGTGCACCTGGTCGGGACTGGGAAGGGGCAGGGGTATTCCCCGGACGCGAGCATAAACGCTTAATGTCATAGTGTCCTGGTCAGTCAGAGGTTAGCTGGGGGCTTTGAAATTGGCTTTGCCTCGTTCTGATGAGGCATCCATGCACAGGCGTGATATAGCGCTCATCGGCGGTTTAGCCCAATGTAAATGATCCAGCGGCTGGACCCAGCTCGAACACAACATCAGTGACGGGTAGTAATCCTGCCGCCGCCGTGTATACGTCACCATGGGCTGAAGTGTTCGCGCCGCATGCTACATTCACGTGCATTTGATGGGTTACAAGGAGGGGAGGGAGGTGCGGGCTCACGGGAGCACCAGCGCTCGCTCCTCTTGTGACCCGCCGTCGTCTGCCAGGCTCGCTGAACCTGGTGGACCTGGCCGGCTCGGAGCGGCTGAAGGAGTCCGGCTCGCAGGGCGACCGGCTCACCGAGACCAAGAACATCAACAAGTCGCTGGCCAACCTGGGCAACGTCATCATGGCCCTGGGCAACAAGGTTGGCGGCCGGGCGGTGCGGCGCGGGCCGGCGTGCCCCGGAGGTCGGCGTGGTGCCGTGTTCTGTAGTCTTGTGTCGATCAGCAGTGTCGATCTTCCACGCAGCAGCATTTTTCCCATTATCTGTATCGCTGCATATCAGAGTTGCTCTTTTCGTCGCGCGCGACGTACTTTCGAGTATGCGTAGCCTGCTTAATGATGGGCTTCACGTCACTTCAGTCACATTCTGGTAGAAGCCTCTGCGTGTCAAATGATCGACTTCACGTCACTTCAGTCACATTCTGGTGGAAGCCTCTGCGTGTCTAATGACTGGCTTCGCGTCACTTCAGTCACGTTTTGTTGAAAGCATCTGCCTTTCTAATGATCGGGTTCACGTCACTTCAGTCACACTTTGTTGGAAGCCTCTGCGTGTCCTGTGGTGGGAGCATTCTTGCAATGCTTACCGTGTCGCCGGACGCCTCCATCACCAGCGCCGACTAACCGTGTACTGTTCTCACTTGCAGCAGGACCACGTGCCGTACCGCAACTCGAAGCTGACGCACCTGCTGCAGCACTCGCTGGGCGGCAACTCCAAGACCCTGATGTTCGTGAACGTGTCGCCGCGCGAGGACTGCGCCTCGGAGACGCTCAACTCGCTGCGGTTCGCGTCCAAGGTGAACGGCTGCCACATCGGCACGGCCACCCGTCGCACCAAGTGAAGCGCTCCGGCGGGCTGAGGCTCGGCGCCGCGCCGCCCCGCCGCACCGGCGGCTCGTCCGGCTGGCACCGACACGCCGACGTCGCCGCCGGTGGCAAGGAGCGCCGCACCGCCGGCCGTCGTGCGTTGGCGGCGGGACGGGGCTCTCGAACCGGAGGAGCTAGCGGGCCGGCGTCCCTCCCCTACCCACCTCCCCCGAGGCGCGGCGGGAGGTCGCGAGCGGGCCGACCGGTGTTTTCGCGACTTGAATGCAGCCGCTGTGGTTGATGGTGACCTAGACTTCATAGCTCCTGTGCCGCATGTAGCTGATATGTAGATGCTTCTGCTACTGTCGCAAGCCTTCGACTGTACATACTTTACGTCCCATAGCTGCAGTGGTCTGGCTGATTCAACGGATGCCCGAGGCACCCTTTGGCGGCCCGTTGAGCATAGCAAGCGAGTGACGCCTTTTTGAATAAGCCGTGTTTAGGCAAATTGTGGTTTTGCACTCTGAAGATTCGAAAAATGCACCCATCTTGAAAGTCCCAACTCAGTGGAGATTTCGTGCGTATGCGTGGTGTACAATCATATCTGGATGCTCATATTTTGGCCGAGAGGGTTACGCATGCTTTAATGTAATTTGGAAATATAATCTGTTCTTGCTTTGTGATGTCTATTCCCGTAAGCTAGTTACCAGAGTAACTAGAAACAGCGATCGTCACGATAATAAGCAAATAAGCTCGTAGCGAGGCCCACGTGTCACCGCTCTACGTGAGACCGTACTGTTCGGCATCCACTAACAGTGCGGTCTCACGTAGGTGTAAGGTGCGACAGCTCTGCTGCATAGCGCATGCGATGTGATATCACGGTCGGTGACGTTGCGTATCATTGTGACTTTACGACGCGCCCAACTGCTGAGGCTACATGGCGTCGCCGGCGTCGCCCTGGCAGGAAGTGCAGGCACCGCGGGAACCGAACCCCGCGCCCCTGGTTTACCAGACTACGCTGCCGATGTCCCGGGGTGAGGCCACGGAGCGTCCCGTCCTCTCCTCGTGCTACGTGCAAGCGGTATATACACATGCGTGGTGGAGAATGCCCGTTCCGCCCCGGCATTTGGCCTCGCCAATACTGGACACGGCACTGAAGTGAACAAGGGTCATGTGCGCTACGCCGTATTATATTGAGAGTATTATGCTAGCTATACTCTCATGTACATAGATAGCTCCGAGTCAGATGACAGTGCGGGGAGTGCGTTTGTGAGGACGCTCGTGGTAATCGGTCCTTACATTGTCGGCGCCTACGTCCGCCTTTAGTGTCGGGTCGGTTGCCATCTCGAATTGCACGGTGTTTTATCACCACGGAACGAGAATTTACACGCCGTTTTATCAGACCTTTGAATTAGTGGCCTGTTGGCTGCAAATCCTTTTCGTCCGATGTGGTCCGTTGTGCAGGGTTCTCAGCTCGCCTGTCTACGCTTGACAAGATAGGGAAGAGGTCGTGCGCTGTTAGATACCTGGTCACGTTGGCATCGCTGGGAACGAGCTGGCAGATACGGCTGCTAAACAGGCGACGCGTGGGTCGTGCACTCGAACCATGGCTCACCCCGCTGGAGATCTTCATGCGGACATTGGATGTTATGTATATAAATATATATATATATATATATATATATATATATAGAGAGAGAGAGAGAGAGAGAGAGAGAGAGAGAGAGAGAGAGGGCTAAGTATACCTAGTAAGTGGCAGCACAGTTCGAACAGATCATCGAACAATAGCTCTGAGAAGTAAAACAAAAATTAGCGCTATAGTCCTCGAGCTTCCGTCCATCAAGAGGAGATGAAGTTACACTTCGCATGCTACGCATCTGCCACACATAAAGCGCGTGGTGGCCTGCTGTGTGGCGAAGACAGGCCAAAGTGTGCTCGTCGTGATGCTCCCCTCGCGGCTCTCCATATTCTTCAGTCATGCCAGTAATTGAACAATGAACATCCGCATCATTTCTGATGTCACGCTTCACCGCTGAGTTACCGAGATGTGCGTTGAGTGAGGATGCGTTCGCCATTGAGGCAGACAGGCTTTTCGGATTGCCGAGAACGATCTGATTTTCCTCAAAATATGCTGGACGGTACGTAACGCCTCCATGTGGGCGCGAAATGACCTCAGCAGTCGATGCGCAAGCAACAGCCAACCTCAATCATGAACGAGAACGAAATAACACAGTACTCTGTTTTGACTCTGACTTCGGTTTCACGTTGAAGTGAAATGCAATAAATTGTAAGATGTATTACATATTCGCAGGCTGAGGTGTGCATACGTTTTGAAGTCATGTTCATGGTGAACCATGAAACGCATTTCAAAACCAAACAACAAGCCGGAACGTTAAGAATCGGCATGCCCGCCGAAATACAAGGAATGCTGCCAGGGGCGCAGCCAGAGGCTTGACAGGGGGGCACGGGGCATAACTGGAATATAGGCTAAACGCTGCCGCGAGTTCAATTCTGCCCCAAGTCTATAGTAAAGAAACTGACAAAACCATACGTTAAATGACTGCATGAAATAAATCGTCGGCGTTTTTCACTTTATGATTGTTCAGTGGACTCTTTCAAACCGAGAGAACTCAGAAATTTGGTTAGAATTTTGATCTGCGTTCTACAGAGATAGCAAGGATTCCGCGAATATGGACTGAAGATAAAAATAGGTCGACAGATTACATTAACATGGCCAAACCATGTTTGTCTGGATAAGTTTGACGATCAGTAAGGATTGTTAGGTGGTACCAATTATGAAACGCGTGCGTAAATCTAAGAAACAAAAAAACGCGACGCCGGGCGTTCCAGCCTCCATAGGCTACGCAGCGTCGGCCCCGCGTGTCATACTAGGCCGTGGCCAACAGGTGGACGAAAATGGTGACGCATCTGAAAGAAGTACCTCTGAACGTTTCCTCCTGTAAGGCACCACCTTTCCGTGGTGGAGGGATTATGTGCCCTAATGATCCTGCAAGCGGTTGGGGAGGCTTATAAAGCGCTCCTTCCGGCTAAAGGGGAGGGGCCAGAGGAAACGTGCCTCCCGCAAGGGCTCTGACTCGTTTAGAGTAGGGATTAGCAACCCCTCGGCCCCAGCTTTCCAGTCTTATCTGGGTCTCGCCGTACCCCGTTGGATCGGCAGGTGGCGATGAAGGGATCCTGGTCATTGAGGGAGTTGCCCTGCGATCAGTCGGAGCAGCTTACCAACACGTGGCTTGGGCACGAGTTTGTGATCCTGAGGGTGCCTCGTGAAGTCTCAACACCAGGAATATCGGCTGGTCAGGCGTTGTGTTTTCAGCGACACTGGCTTGAAGGCGAGCAGGCCGTGTGATGGGTGTTGAGGGGAGGAGCTGCCGGGTGCAGAGTCTGTCTCCGGACATCATTAAGAGGCCGTACCTCGGTTTGCTACCAGGGTGCCTGGTTAGCCCCTGCGGACCGAGGCACTGGCGCCCGCAGACTCGTGCCCGGCGGCTCTCGCAGCAACTCTTTTGGCACACTGGTCTGCGTAGAGCGTGCTGGTAGCCATGGCGGCTCCTCTCTTAGAAGTAGACCGTCCTCGTGTTGGATTCCATGGTGAGCGGGGAACCAGCGCGCCGAATATAAACATATACTAACGGTGGACACTATATCATCAACCAACGCCCTCAAACCCCGACCGCCGCAGCCAAGGAGAAGGCGGAAGTTGTCCACTCACGGACACTGAGGTGAGACGACCTGTGCCACTGCCCCAGTTTTTGGTCTTAAGATCCGCTAAGGTAGATGACCAAGGAAAAATAGTACCGTTCCGACTAACCCATTGCAGCGCCAACAAGCATTTTCCAAGATCGGAACACCCGAGAATGTCATTTCGTATATGGATGAGGGAATAGAAGTGCATTTAACATACGAACGCGAGATCCAGTGCATGCTCAAGACGATCACACTTATCTACAAAGTACGAGGACAGGGAGAGGTCAGGGTGCCCGTATCGGGGCACCTTCACTCCTCTAAGAACTACTCCAAGGGTGTGATTACTTGCCGAGACTTTCGCGGTGTGAGTGATGAGGATGTTGCTGAGGGCTTGTGTGAGGAAGGGGTACCGGCGGTGAGACGTATTAAGAGGAGAGAGAGAGAGAGAGAGAGGAGAGAGAGAGAGAGAGAGAGAGAGAGAGAGAGAGAGAGAGAGAGAAAGAGAGAGAGAGAGAGGGGAGAGCTGATCGATACTGATTCTATTATTCTGACGTTTTGCTGCGCGAGAGTGCCAGATGGGGTCCGCGTCGGATGCCAGTCGGTCCCTGTTAAGGTCCATGTACCCGATCCAGTCCGGTGCTATCCATGCCAGACGTATGGTCGCCTCACTGAAAAGTGCTGGAAAACAGTTAGATAAGGAAGGTGTGCAGAAATAGGTTACTAACACTCTTAGTGCAAATTAGAAGCAGTGAAATGCGTCAACTGTGGTCAGGGACATGTGGCGTTATATCGTAGCTGTCAGTCCTTCTCGTCAGAGAAGGCTGTCCTGAGCATCAAGGTGAAGGGAGGAGTCTCGTTTCGGGAGGCCCAATATCGACACAGCGATACGACCATCGCAAGGACATACAAAGACGCCCTTACTAATCCGGCAAGAAATTTAGTCCTAGTAACACCCGCAGCCAACGAGGTACTGAAACTGTGTTAACTTGATTTCAAAGGCATGACTGTGGGCGAGTTTGTGCAGCTGATTCTAAGCACACTTATACCAACTGGCCCTGCTGCCCCGTCGTCCCGAAAGTCGGATCCTCCGAAAAAGAATTCACCTGCGGCATTGGTCGCTGCCAAAGAAGCTCAACCTATAGGGTTGGGGCCCCCTGGTAGAGCTGTCAGAGAACCTGGGACTGGGGTGCGACCCGGAAAGGGGGATGAACCGCGGACCAGCGAAGCCGTGGACTTCGCCCCCCCCCCCCCCATCATCGCACCCCAGCCCAGCCGTGCTGAAGACACGCCCTCCCGGGCTCCATCTTCCCCTCCATTCAGCTACGAAGGGACCTGTTCCCGCTGGCACAGCGGCGCTACGAGGGCTGACCCCCTCTGGCTCCACAGCTAGTGGTCCT